ATGTGGTTCCTGCGGCGGGCTCGTTCTATAGCTTGAAAACTTATGCGCCTGCGGCGGGCTTCTTCAGAGCCTTGCCAGACTGCCGATGTCCCTGGGAGCGTCGCTAAGTGAGAATACGTGGTGAACATTCTGCTTGTTGCGGTGTTGTTGTGTGTTGTTTTCGTCCCACCCGCGACCCACCCGCGACCCACCCGCGACCCACCCCGCGACCCACCCGCGACCCACCCCGCGACCCACCCGCGACCCACCCACGAACCACCCGCAACCCACCCGCGACACATCCGCGACCAACCCGCGACCCACCCGCGACCCACCGTCGACCCACCTGCGACCCAACCCGTGACTCACCCACATTGTTTTAACAATAAATCGGCGCCTGCGGCGGGCTCGTTTTACAGCTTGAAACATTCTGCGCCTGCGGCTGGCTTCCTCAGAGCCTCGCAGATTGCCACCGTACCCGCCGCCCCCTCACTCTTATCCGCAACTGCGGGTTGCTATGTAAAAAGCCATCGTGCAAATCAGAAATCGGCATTGGAACATTATGTGGTTGGCTTCTGGGCAAACCAGGACGCTTTGCCACTGCTGGAATGGGGAGACGCACGCGGTCAGCAACTCTTGCTCAGCGACTCGCGGCGGCGGACCTGTCGACACTCCATGCCCTGCGAACTGACGGCGGGTTGCTCCGCTGCGCGGGGCGGTGCCGCGCCGAAGCGCGGCGGGCCAGGACTGGCGGAGCGACACGCTAAGCCCCGATGCCCGACCGCACACGATGAGGGCACAAGTGGACGAGGCCAACCCGGGAATCTCTGAGAGCCGGCAGGGCTGCAGGGTGCCCTTGCCGCCGCGGGGCGTCCCCGAACGCCCCGAGAGCGCTCCTGGACGCTCTGGGGCGGTTCGTCCTCATCCTACGGTCGGGAACTTCTGCTCAGCCTTTCGCGGCGGCGGCCCCAGCGACACGCCGTGCCTTGCTAGCGAACGGCGCGCCGATCCGCCCCGCGGGGCGGAAGGCTCGGGAAAGCTCAGGACTCTCACGCCTGGGGGCCGCAACATGGACAACCAACGTGTCGCGCCGCAGCGTGGTGGGCCAGAACCGGCGGCGCGACACGCTATCGGGGAAACCACAAAGTACCGACACCGATGCTCCCCGGACCTGTCCTGGGGTGCGTTCTGACTCGAATTTCCCAGCGAATCCAGCGGTGCGAGAGGGCGTGGGAGGAGGCCCAAGAAGGCGAAAACGAGGGAAGGGCACGGTGGGGACATTGGACAGGGAACCCTTAGATAAGGAATCCAGGGTCTGGAAGCCGGTGGAATTCCGGTCGTGGATCGGCCATGGGTATCGCCGCCGCCCTCATCAGATGAGGAACCCTCCAGGGCCTGAAGCCCCTGCACACATCTCATTAACTCACGCCCCCACCGTAGGCTTTTCTCCTCCGAGTCATCCAAAAGCTCCTGACCGTGGGCTGGCCTGGCCACCGGCGGCTCCGCGGCCCAGGCCTCTCGAGCGCGGTGCCACCCCGGCGCGGATGGCCCGCGTCCGGGACATGCCCAGACGATCGTGCATCTGTGGGATCGCTTTCCTGGAGTTCAGAGCCGCGTGGGCATGGATACGGTGAAGGCATTGGATAAGGAACCCCTAGATAAGGAATCGAGGGCCTGGAAGCTGGTGGAACACAAATTGGGGCCTGACCATGGGTAGCACCTCCGCCCTCAACAGATAAGGAACCCTCCAGGGTCTGAAGCCTCCTGGGCACGTTCCTTAACGAACGCCCCCATCGTATGGACGAGCTCTTCGCTCGCGAGTCAAGGCCGAGGAGTGTCGACGATGCTCGAAGTCTCGGGGCGCTTTTTCTGGGGCTCTGGTGCTTCAGGCATGCCTGGGCGTCCGTCGTGCAGTGTTGTTAGGCTTCTGGAGGCCACTTTCGGGCCTCGGGACCGTCCACGAAAAAACAACTCGGAAATCAAACGCCGGCCCTGGGGGAACGGGACGGGAGGTCCAGAGGCCCATGCGTCGAACCAGCCAGGGCAGTGCATGTCTGGATCGTCGTCCTCGTATTCGCTGACGGGCTTCGATGGTTTGCGACATCTTCTCGGAGGCCATCAAAATGGCACGAACACAGATTTTCGGATGTCCGCGCTGACTCGTTGGATTGGCGCTGGAACCCCCCGCCCTGGCTCACGGAGCGCGCCAGGGGCGGGCGCCAGAGGAGCTGCCAGGGGCCTCCAGCCCCAAAGCACAAAATCCGCGCGGACAGTCGGGAGATTACGTTGATGTCATGTTGTGCTCCTCGAATCTGGGTCGTCGTCTTCGTCTTCGTTTAAGAGGTCGACGGTCTGCGAAAGACTGCGAGCCTGCGCATGCCCTGGACTTTCTCAAATTTCTGGCAGTTTTCACAGGCTGCCGGAGGCCGAGGCTTCGGCGTCGCCGTCGACGAACTTGCATGATGTTCTGCGGTTGTCGACATGTCTTTCGCGGTTTTCGGATCTGCTTTACGTGTGTGCGTTTAATACGGAACTCTCGAAGATTCCAAGAAGCTCTCGGGAATCTCCGACAGTTTCAGGGCAAATGCACTCAGAGAGTTCCTGGAGGCTCCCAAAGATTGTCGGTCGTCGTCGTTGTCGTCGTTGTCGTCGTCGTCGTCGTCGTCGTCGTCGTCGTCGTCGTCGTCGTCGTCGTCGTCGTGGTCGCCGTCGCCGTCGTCGACCGATCGATGGAGGCTCGCGGCTCGACGCTCCCCCCATCCATGGACATTCCCCCGCCTGGACGGCCGCTCTCCCCATCCGGGCCCCCTGCTCCTCACCCTCCCCGCTCATTCCCTCTCCTCGTCCCCCTCCCTCCTCTCTGCCACGGTCGGAGAATGCACGGCAAATTGCCGACGACTCTACCGACAGCGGACACCGCTTCCTCCAAGGCGGGGCCTGCACCGCTTGCCCTCCCCTACCCCCCCCGTCCCCGCCTGCCTTCAGTCGAGACGTGCCCACGCGAGCGCGATCCAAGAAGACGAGCCGCCCCGCAGAAGGCTCTGTGTGTGGCCCGCCGAGGCGCCCCATACGAAGGGAGATCCGAGATGGAAGGCTCGAGCACGAAGAGAACACAAACGTACCCCGAAGATGCTGTGGCTACTCTTGACCCTCATTCCAAATAATTCCCCTGGGGCCTCTCAGGTCGAGAACTTCCGCTGAGCGTGTCGCGGCGTGTCGCGGCGGCAGCCCCGGCGACACGCTGCGCCCTGCGAGCTGATGGCGTTTCGCTCGGCTCCGCGGGGCGGGAAGCCGGGACGAGCTCGAGACGTTCACGCTTGGGGACTGGGGCGTGGCTAGCCTGCCGCGCCGAGACGTGGTGGGCCAGAACCGGCGCCGCGCCGCGATAAGCAAGCGCTCCTGACCGGCAACCCCTCCCCGAAGCCAGGACGTTGCCAATCAGGCAAGCCCTCCCCGAAGCCCTCCCCTCCTCGGCAATCCCTCCGCGAGGGCCTCTCCTCCCCAGCGATCTCTCAGGTCCCCCGAAGCCATGCAGGACACTGCCAGCCAGGCCTCTGAACACACCGCCCGGGAGAGAAAGACGAAACTGCGAACGCTTCGGCCCTCAGCTGCAGCTCCCTCGGGCGCGCACATGTCCTAGTTCGTACAAGGGGGGCCCTGAAACCCCCTCGGCAGCCCCTTGCCCAAAATCACCCGCGCAGCCGCTCCCATAGGTGCCCTGAGCCAGGGCCCCCTGTAAACCAAGATGCTACCGACCAGGACCTTTGGACACTGCAGCCGGGGGCGAACGAGGACTGGGGAATCTATTCCGATCCACGCCTGCAGTTCCCTCGGCGCGCGAAGGCCTTGGTGATCTCAGAACGTCCCCGCCTCTGGGGGGCCCTGAGAGGGCTGGCTGACGCGACGCCGCCCCTGAGGAGGCGAAACCCTCCACCCTCCTCCGGGATTCGACGCTCCTCCCCAAAGATGGCGCTTGGGAGCAGGGGGCAACTTTTGGAGGGCCTTCTTGAGCACGATGGCAAGGCCACCTAGCCCTAGTTACACGCCACTCGGCTGGATGAAGCTGGATTAAACCCAGGATGAGGCGGCATTAACAGGGAGCAAGTCCGAGTAATTTCGACCACCGGTGACTACCGCCGATGCTAAACCGAACGTCCCAGGAGTTGCGTCTTCATTGGGGGGGGGCCTCGTGGTAGTACCAGCAGCTCAGGGCCAGCCTCGGCTCCGCGCCTGAGGCCGGGCGGGGCGCCGGCGCCGGAGTCGATCAGGGAATGCTTCGGGCCAATATGAGACGCCGACATCAAACGCCCATCCCTCAAAAGAACATGGATGTCCCAATCGTCTTCGTCCTCGTCCTCGTCTTGGTTCCGGTCATCGCCATCGTCGTCGTCGTCGTCGTCGTCATCTTCCGTCTTTCCTCCGCCACTGCCTCTTGCATCCTCTCTCCCCCGTTTCCCCCTCCTTCGTATTCCTCCTTCTCACACTCAGGTCCTCCTCCACCGCTTCCCACCGACATTTTCCTCCCCCTCCTGCATTTCCTCTTGTTTCTCTTGCTCCGACACCCCTGGCCCGCCGCCTGCTCATCCACCTGCTTGTGCTGTTGGTGCTCCTCCTCTGCAGTTTTCTCCTCCTCCTCCTCCTCCTCCTCCTCCTCCTCCTCCTCCTCATCATCATCATCATCATCATCATCATCATCATCATCATCATCATCATTTCATCATCATCATCATCATCATCTCATCATCAATCATCATCATACATCATTCATAATCATCATCATCTCATCATCATCACATCATCATCATCATCATCATCATCATCATCATCATCATCATCATCATCATCATCATCATCATCATCATCATCATCATCATCATCATCATCATCATCATCATCATCATCATCATCATCATCATCATCATCATCATCATCATCAGTATCATCCTCCGCTGCCTACTCTGCGTCCTTCTCCGCCCTGTCCTCTCCGTTTCGGGGTTCCTCCGAGGCTGGTCCGCGTCCTCCTCCTCCACCTCCTCCACTTCCTCCTCTTCCCCCCCCCCCCATACCACCTCGAAGGAGGGGGAAAGAACAATGCAGCTGGATATGGTGAGGCGCCCGACGGCTCGACGCCGCCGCGCAGGCTCGGCAAGAGCCTAAAGATGGATCGATCGGCCTTCACGGCGTCGGCATTCTAGCGGTCGTGTCGCTGCTGTTGGGGAAGTGCTTCGTGCAGTCTGCCACGGCGACGCGAATCGTGGCATTCAGACTGCTGTTCTCGCCGACGGGTGAATTGTCCCCGAGGCCGAAGCAAACCAGAACGTTGGCGTTGTGCTGGTCGCGGGGCAAGGCGAGGTGGTGCTGAAGCCTCTTGCGCCGCAAATAATTCGCCATCTTGTTGGGCCGGCTGCGCTTGGGGAAGCATCTGGAGACGCAGCTCGCCTCTCACGGGTTCACGCGCACGCGGTAGATGGTCGCCCATGCGTCCGCTCAGGTCCTCATGATGGGTCAATCCAGGAACTGTTGGCGTTCACGAGACAGGCTGCTCGCCACTCCTGTCGAAGAGCGGCTGGGAGCTGGACCATGGAGATCATGTCGAACGAGGGCGTCCTGTCGTTGGCGGTGAGCGGGGGCGTCCTGTTGTTCGCAAAGTCGAGATTGTGGATCCAACGTCGGCGCGCCAGATGTTTTTCAGCTGCAAAACGCGGCAACTGCAAGACGCGGCCGCCGTTGGACTTCCGCGCTGGGCCGGTCTTGGCGCGATAGACGACGTCGACGCCACCGCCCAGGCTCAGTCTTGGCACATTTGTTTTTCCAGCAGAAGCCCTCAGCCAGCTGCCGCAGGTATTCTCCCGAAACCCCGCAGTGTAGGATGTGGGGCTCGCCACCTCGAAGATAGACATGACGTGCGGGGCGCGCATCGACAGCCGCGTCGCCGCTGATGTTTCCCACGTGGGCGTCCGACGTGGGCGTCCGACGTGGGCGTCCGGGATCCAGCCCACTGCCCAGCGTCCAGTACTTTCGGCAATTGCGCTGTCGGCTTCGACTGCGCGGTCGGAGTCTTCTTGTTCACGGGCCCGGCAGCTGGCTTCTGCATGCTCGCGGAAGTCGTCAGATCACCGGCTTGGCGAGGGGCGCGTATGAAAGTATTTCGAAACTCGGAGGCGCTGCCACAGTTGGTTGCATGATCATCGACCTGGGATGGAAAAAACACAAGTGGCCATGTTGGAAAATCCTTAACAATTCTTCGTCGGCAAATTATTAATTTTGGGTGGCGCGCCCATCGCCGAGCGGGGGCGGGGCGGAACAGATAGGGGAACGGAAGAACGAAGGGCGCCGCGATGGGATTGCGAGGACTACCGCGTGGAATACGCGAAAACGAATGCCACGATGATGTCTAGAACGATCCTTCGCTTTGGGGTCGAGGCATGACCCCGCCGACGCGAGCTCTCGGGGCTGAAGACGCGAGCCCTCGCGGCCTGCGACGCGGCGCCTGGGGCCTGCCACGCGGGGCCCTGGGGCCAGTTCGCGACCACCTGTGGCCTGCGACTTGGATGCTCAGGGCCCTTCACGCGCATCCCTGGGGTGGGGGGGGTGGGGGGGCGATGCGAATTCCAAGCGCGCCGCGCGACTCCGACGGCCGAAATCGCCAGGGACCGAAGCCCGCGGCGCGAGTTCCTGGGCCCCGCGAAGCGCCTTCCCACACACACACACACACACACACACACACACACACACACACACACACACACACACACACACACACACACACGCACGCACGCACGCACGCACACACACACACACATTCACACATTCACACACACACACACACACACCACACACACACACACACCACCCCACCCCACCCCACTCCACCCCACCCCACCCCACCCCACCCCACCCCAGGGCTTACGGGGCCGTCTTCTCCAGCATGCGACGGGGGCCCTTGGGACATCGGGCCCAAATTTGTCATGACATTCGAGTTGGCTCAGACTGGGCTGACTCGGCTGAGCTAGGCAGGGATGGCCTAGACCATGGCAGGGTTACACGCAGCATGGGCCTGGTAAGACTTTACCACGAGCCTTTGCATTGCGAGGGGGGGGGGGGGGGGCTGTCAACGGCGCAGCTGTCGCAACTTCTGTAAGCTCCTGGGTAAGCCAGCGGAGTTGTACGCCACGCGATCCAGACGAGATCTCGCGGCTCCCTGGATAATGAAAGTGGGTGGTAGTGGTGGGAGGGGGGGACGTGGTGATGGGGGGGGCGCGGTGGTGGTGGGGAGGAGTGCGCGTGCGTGCGCGCGCGTGCGTGCATGCGTTGTGCGCGTGTGTGTGTGTGTGTGTGTGTGCGTGTGCGTGAGGGGCGTGCGTGTGCGTGCATGCGCGCGCGTGTGTGCGCGCGCGTGTTTGTGCGTGTATGTGCGAGCGTGCATGTGCCAGTGCACGTCCCTGATGTGTGTGTGTGTGTGCGTGTGCGTGCGTGCGTGTGCATGCGTGCTTGTGCGGGTGCGTGCGCGCGTGCGCCTCTGTGTGGTGAGTGGGTGGGCGTGTGTGTGTGTGTGTGTGCGTGTGTGCGCGTGCGTGGTGGTGGCGGTGTGGTGATGGTGGTGGTGGTGCGCAGGTGTGTGTGTGTGTGTGCGGGTGTGTGTGCGTGCCCGCGTGTGTCCGTGCGTGTGTGTGCGTGCGCGTATTGTGGTGGTGTGCACGCGTCCCTGCGTGTGTGTGTGCGCGTTGTGGGAGCGGTTTGCGTGGCGGTGGTGTGCGTGTGTGTTGTGTTGGGGTGTGTGTGTGTGTGTGCGTGTGTGTGCGTGTGCGTGCGTGCGCGCGCGTGCGCGCGTGCGCGCGTGCGTGTGTGCGCGTGCGTGGCGTGTTTGCGCGTGTGTGCGTGGTGCGCGTGCGTGTGCGGGTGGGCGGCGGCGGTGTGCATGCGTGGTCGCGGTGCTAAGTGCGGGTGTTGTTTGGGGAGATACGTAGTTTTATACACAGACGTACATGTGTATATACACGCGCACACACATTTGTATGTATATAGTTGTATGTGCATGCAAGCATGCATGCATGTGCGTGCACGCATGTGTGGGTGTTTGTATGTGTGTGTGCGCACGTACGCACTCGAAGTGGTGGCGGGGGGGGGGGCGGCGGGGGCGCGCGGTCTGCGCGCGTGCGCGCGCGCGCGGCGGGGCGGTGGCGGAGCGGGGAGGGGGGGGCGGGGGGGAGGGGGCAACTGTCACCGCGCCATGTGTCATCTCGAAAGGGCCAGTCCTTGTTATAGCAGTCATTGCTATAGGATGGGTCGGGCACGCACATGGCGGTTGTCGCGCGCGCGGGGCGGCGCTTACCAACGCGGCGGTCGTAGGTTCCGTTCCGTTCGCTCGTGCTTGCGCGCGGCGCCAAGTGCGGGCGCGATTGCATCGGGCAGATGCCCATCTCTGGCGCCCGCCTCGCAGGAAGGCGAGGTTGCGTTTGGGAAATTTCTCTCCACGGGTGCGATGTTTTTCTCTGCGCGCGCGATCTATTTCCCCCATGGGTGCGATCTATTCTCTCCAAGGGCGCGATGGACATCCCCCGCGGGCGCGATGCATTTTCCCCAGGGGTGCGTTCTCCCCGTGGGCGCGATTGATTTTCTCCGCGGGCGCGATTTATTTTCTCCGCGGCTGCAAATCAGTTTCTCCGTGGTTGTGGTTGATTTGCTCCGCGGGCGCGGTTCCCCCCCCCCGCGGGCGCGATGCATTTTCTTCGCGCGCGCGATTATTGCTCCGAAGGCGCGATTGTTTTTTCTCCGCGCGGGCGATTTTCCCGCGGGCGCGAATTCATTCCCCTGGGTGCTATTGTTTTTGTTACTCAGCGGGCGCGGTTGTGTTTAGCCGCGTGCGCGAATTATTCCCTCCATGGGCGCGATTTATTTTCCCCGTGGACGCGATCGATTTTCTCCGTGGGCGCGGTTCAATGTTCCGTGAATGCGTTTTCTTCGCCGCGGGCGAGATCTATGTTCTCCCCTCGCGCGATTGTTTCTCCGCGGGCGCGATTTATTTTCCCCGGGGGTGCTATTTATTTTCTCCGCGGGCGCGGTTTATTTTTCCGTGGGCGCGATGCAGTTTTTCCGCGACCACGATTCATTTCCGCGGGTGCGATTGATTTTCGCAGCGGGTGCGGTTCATCTTCTCCATGGGCGCGATTTAGCATTCCCCGTGGGCGAGATTTAATGAGGGGGCGCCTTCCAATCTGATCTCCCCGACG